AAATAAATCACTATAATATTTAATAGATTAACTTGATCCATGTTGGAACGATACTCTATTTACTACTTACTAATTTAAGCGATATTGTCCACTTGCAATTAATCACATCAAATTTTGGCGCTGTTGCCGGGAATCGACTTAGTCTGTTATATTAGTGCGCTTTATTTTCTAGTTATACCTTGAATATTTAATTAGTTAATTTTTTTTTTAATTTCATGTACTTTTTTAGTTCAATTTGAATTCATTTTAGAAAAATAAAAAATAAAAACCACAAAGCAAAGCAAAAGAACGTGAGGGATTCAGACAACAAACAAACCAAAAGGAAAAAAAGAAAACGCCAGCCCCAAACAGCCAACTTGCAAGAAAGAGGAAAAAAAAAAACAGAAACAAGGAGTTTTACACGCAGCCATCAGGAATTCCATTCCTATTTCCATTCAACTTTCTGTTCCTTTTATTAAAGTTTCTTTCCAATTTCCTTTGGGTTTTACAATTAAACTTATTTTCCTAATTGTGTTTGGGTTTTGTTTCCTTCTTCAATTCTATTATCTTCTCCTTATTGGAACCTGAGATTGAACAAAAGCTTCAAGCAATTCGTAGGAGACAAAAACAAGACAAGGAAAAGAAGAATCAACAAGAAGAAGAAGAGATGGCCCTAGTACTGAATGAAACAATGGGAGACCTTGATATCCCAACAATTCCGATGTCACCTTCAAGCATCGTTCTCCTTGCAGCTTCCAGGAATTATGAATTGAAAAATATCCACTTTAATATGATGCCTTCTTTCCATGGATTAAGTTCTGAATATCCCTTAGCTCATATTGGAGACATTTTTTAACATAGTTTCTAACATGGCTTTGATAGGGGAGTCACCGAAGAACATCTCAGGATGAAAGTCTTTCCCTACATTGTGAAAGATAAAGCAAAGACGTGGCTAAACTCCTTAAGGCCTGGATTATTGACTAGCTGGACGGAGGTTCATAACAAGTTCTTGGATAAGTTCTTTTCGACTCAGAAAACTGATGCACTAAGGGATAAAATCATGCAATTCAGTCAACATGCCGGTGAGTCATTTTCAGAAGCTTGGGAACGGTTCAATAATTTTTTAATACAATGTCCTCACCATGGTTTGCCTATTCTAGTTCTCATGCATATTTTTTACAAGGCACTAACCATTTCAAGTAAGGGCTGCAGTGAATAATTATGCAGGTGGATTTATTAAGAACAAGACGCCAACTGAATGTCAAACTTTGTTTGACAGAAACACAGCATTCTGATGCAAGAGGTAAACGTGCTGGAATTTATGAATTTGGTAGTTCTAATGCTTTTGCTTCTAAAGAGCAAGTTGACGCTATAACCAGTAAATTGCATGCCTTGCTTGCTATGAATGGGAGAGTACCAACACATGAGATTTGCTCCATTTGTGTTGTTCCCGGTCATGCCACCATATCGTGTCCTCATGGAGTTGATTTTCCAGAATTTTTGCAAGAACAATCCAACATGGTGAATAGATATAGACATCCCGGCAATGATCCATTTTCCAACACATATAATCCGGGATGGCAAAGGCACCCCAATTTATCTTGGAGCAATAATAAGAATGTGCAAAGACCACCACTGGGATTTCAACCACAAGAGAAGAAAAATAACTTGGAGAACATAATCACACAGCTCGCCACAAATACAAATCAATTCATGAGTAGGACGGAGACGACCCTACAAAACCACGCTGCTTCCATTAGAAATTTAGAAGTTTAAATGGGTCAATTGGCTAATGCACTCACAGTAAGAAAGAGAGGAGTTTTGCCGAGCCAATCCGAGGTTGATCCAAAAATTCAGGAGCATGTGAAGGCAATCACACTCCGAAATGGGAGGCCAATAAAAACCGCTGTAGATTTAGACGCAGAAACAGAGCAGCAACATCTAAAAACTACAGAAAAATCAGCTGAAAATAGCCTACCTGCAGCCGGACCACTTCAACCCATCGTCGTGATCTCCACTGGAAATTCAGCAAAAACTGAGCAACCACCATCCACAAATCTTACTCCAAAATCCTATGTTCCGCCAATTCCTTTTCCGCAACGCCTAAAGAAAAATAAGAAGGATGCAAAGTTTTCCAAATTTCTTGAAATTTTCAAGAAATTGTAAATTACCGTTCCATTTATTGAAGCACTAAAGCAAATGCCAAGCTATGGAAAGTTCCTCAAGGACATCTTAAGCAAAAAGAGACGTTACAGAGATGGTGGAATTGACGGAGGAGTGTAGAATAGCAATGAAAAGGCAACTACCACCTAAGCGAAAGGATCTAGGGTGGTTTTCTATTCCTTGCACCATTGGCACTATTTCTTTTCAAAGAGCATTGTGTGATCTAGGTTCTAGTATTAATTTAATGCCTTTGTCTGTAGCTAAAAGAATTGGTTTGGGGGAAATTAAGAAAACTACTATTTCTTCGCAGATGGCAGATAGATCACTTACATATCCTCACGACATTCTTGAAGATGTACTAGTGAAGGTGGATAAATTCATATTCCTAGAAGATTTCATAGTTTTGGATATGGAAGAAAATGTCGACACTCCAATTATTTTAGACCGCCCATTCCTCATTACGAAAAGAATGATAATTGACGTAAAAAAAGTTCTTTAATCTTACAAGATGCCGATCAAGAGGTGGAATTCAAAGTTTTTGATGCAACCAAGTACCCCATTGATTCAGAGTATTGTTTCCATTTAGAAGCAGTAGATCATGTTGGTCGACGACAATTCATAGCAGACTACCCAAAAGATCCACTAAAAGCAAGTTTGGTTCATGAGATGGAGGTAGGAGAGGAGCCACACGTGCTTGAAATGGTGAACTCGTTGGAAACCAAGGTCGTCCGAAGCACCATTGCCGCACCAACCCTCACTTTGAAAAGATACTTGGAATAAAATTGCAATCAACAAAAGGAGACCTTCGCTCTCCATGATCCCGGGTGATAATCATTACAAAAGTCGGGCTGTGGACTATAAACCAAGCGCTTGTTGGGAGGCAACCCAACTAGGTACCTTCGTTCCTTTCTTTTCAATATATGAGTGTGAGCCATTTACTAGAGGGATACCCAATGTTGACACATTTGATAACCTCGTGGGTGAGTTTGGGAGTGAAATATTAGAGATGGGTGTGAAGATGTATGGATTGATTGATTGCTGTAATGTATGACATTAGTTATGCAGTTAATTGTATGACATTAATTAATGGCTCTATATGAAATTATTTTTATCACTTTTTCATTATGCAGGTGTAGGCTTTGGTCACGACCAATCCAGTATTAAAAATACTAGGTTCAAGATGTAAAATACGACGGTCCAGTTAACAAATTGCAAAAACTGACGTCTACATCATAACCAACGTCGTATTTTAACAAACAACGTGGAATGAACAATGCAAAAGAACGTACATTAATAAAAACCTCCATTTGAAACAAAAAACACATCGGTTAATTAAAATTCATATTACATGATGGCTAATAGATATTACAAACAACGAGGGTCATGATAAGATTTTCAAATGATTCACGTCGTAGATATTACAAACAATGAGGGTCATGATAAGATTAACATGATACACGTGATACTGGTTTTTTTTTAAAACAGAGTTACGTGGTGACAAAATAAAATAAAAATGACAACCAAAGAGATACTGGTTTTCCTAAAATTTAGGTCTTTCGTGTAATTCGGTGGATCGAACACTAAACTAGTAAGAAATAATAATATTTAGCACGCACTAAATAAATTAGTAACATTTACTTGTTTTGAGATTCAGAACTACGTGCTTGAGACTAAAATATACAATAACTTCAAATTATTTAACTTTTTTGTAATCCACATATGTACAACTTTATCTGTTTTTCAAGTGATTAAGGCCCCGTTTGAGATTGCTTTTTTTCACCAAAAACTTGCTTAACTTTAAAGTTAAGCAGTTTAAGATGTTTGGTAAAAATAAAATATCCTGCTTATTTTAAAAGCAATGGTCTTTTGATAGCAGATTTTAAAAGCAACCTTGGGGTTACTTTTTAAAGTTGCTTTCAATTGAAGCAATGTGCTCCCTTTAATGAAATTTTCGCAATTCCACAAATACCCTTATTAGGTTAGAAATCTATCATCACGTATTTCTCTCAAATCTGTAGACACCAAAGTTCATCTTCATGTTGCCTCCCAAGTTTCTTCACGTAGCCTCCCAAGTTTGGAGACAACCATTCGCTCAATCTCTCTCAATCTCTTTCACAAGGTAGATTCTTCAATATCTTCAATCTCTCAAACTTTTTATATACGTGCTGCTCTTTTTTTTTTTCTTCTTTTTTTCTACTGGTTGTCCATGGTTTCTACTGGTTTTATATACGTCCATGTTTTATATACGTCCAGATTTTTTCTACTGGTTGTCCATGGTTTTTTCAAGCATGAAGGTGTCCATGCCAGGAAGTTTTCGTGTGGACCCCATTGAAGACCCATAGCTGGTATTTTTATTAGCCACCATTGAAGACCCATCTGATCTGCTATTTTTATTTTCTTGAGAGTTTATCGTGATGGGTCTCATAGCTGTTGGTTTTATTCTAGGTGCAGTCCACAATGCATATCACCTCATTGTGGTTGAGTCGTGATGGGTCCACAATGCATATCTCCTCTAACTTGATAATAAACTTGATATCATCACCCAACGACAAGCTCCATTTTCCTTTTAATTCCCTTTATGATAAACTAGTTTTGCTGCAAACTTTTATTTCTTTAACTTCCATTAATCTTTTGTGAATAAAAATCAAAATCGCAGACCCAAAAAATAAGGGAAAAATATATGGGAGTGTGTTTGAATCCTTGTCATCTTGTACGACTTGGTGTATTGCTTTTGATGTATGTAGTTTTGCCCAATTCTAGGACATGGTATAGGGAATAGGCTAGCACAAGAACGATTTCAACATTCTGGTGAAACTGGGACTTGATACTTTGGTAAATTACTTGATATTATATGCCTTATGGCCGTTGATATCATAAAACTGTTGGATCCTGAGTTTAAGGGAGTCCCAGAAGAGATATTGAGAGATTCAAGATATATGCCCCATTTTAAGGTAAAAATTGGATACAACAATTTATCGTTTGTTTTACGAACAAAGTAATATTTATTGAAATGTTTCTCTTTTTGTTTGCAGGATTGCATTGGTGCTATAGATGGAGTACATGTTAAAGCCTCAGTACCTCCTGAAGATCAAGTACCATATATTGGCAGGAAAGGAATACCGACTCAAAACATAATGGCTACTTGTAATTTTGATATGCAATTCATATTTGCATGTGCAGGTTGGGAAGGCACTGCACACGATACAAGAGTATTTTTATCAGCGTTACAAAATAATGCTTTAAATTTTCCCAAACCTCCAAATGGTAATGTTTCAAACATGTGCATATCATTAAACTTCGAATTTTCACACTTTCAAATTATATTATAATTAAACATATCTTATTGGTTACAGGAAAATATTATCTTGTGGATGCGGGTTACCCACAAATGAGCGGGTATTTGGGACCATATAAAGGTGAAAGGTATCATCTTCCAGATTTTCATAGGGGTACTCAACCAACAGGTTGCACTTTTGGTGTATAGAAGAAAAAGTGGAGTATTTTACGAGACATGCCAAGCTATCCATTCGATAAGCAAGTGAAGATAGTAATTGCAACTATGGCACTTCACAACTATATAAGGAGGCATGCCCAACGTGATATTCATTTTGACAAAGTGAATGACAACCCAAATGCAATGGAGATGGAGGGTGATCCACAAGAAGAATATCATATGACTCAAGGGCCTGGAGCACAAGAACTAGAAAGATTAAGGAACAAGATTGCTGCAAGTTTAATGCATGCATCTTCTTAGACAGTTTCTTTATTTCCATTTATTTAAGCCTAGTTTCAATGTTTTTTTTTATTGCTGGAATTCAAACCTTATTAGGACAAAGGATTTGTCAAAAAAAAATATTTATTACTTATTCAATATGAAGGATGGTGTATGAACCTACTACCGTGGTGATCTCTTTATCTTTATTGGAATTATTCAATACATAATTATCTTTGTTGGAATTTATTTAATTTGAAATTTTCTTTTCTTTAAGCAAAGATTAATGTAATTTTTAGGGAGAAAAGTATAAAAGCACTTTACAGTTTTATTTTTTACCAAACAGATTAGTAAAAAGCACTTTCAGCATCATGTCCATTTTAGTCATTATAAATAGTTACAGCACTTTTACGGTAAAATTTACCAAACGCTCTGACACTACTTTTCATACTCACAGCACTTTTAAAATTACAGTTTACTAAACGTTTAACTGCTTTACTTTACAGTTGATTCTTTTTAAAGCACAGCAGAAGCAGCTTTTTTTTAAAGCGGCAGCAATCCCAAACTAGGCCTAAGTACAAAGCCACAAAAGTGCCGAAAGGGGTACAATAATATTTCCTGTGACCAATGTTGATTTGATATGGAGAGAATTACGCTTAAACCAAATACTCAAACCCCTGATTCAACAGCTCGAAGCGCCTATACTCAGACTAACAATTCAGATCCACTGTGCAATGGTAGAAACAACAGATCCGTATCGCAGCCGAAAATTAAAATACAAAACACAGCAAACTCCTAACGAGTTCATGAGAATTAAAATAAAATATAGCAAACTCCTAAAGAGTAATATACTAAAACAAACAAAGAAATAAGACCACCGCTCCACATCCTCTTCGACAACCCCTTAATGTTAGTTTGACGTTCTTGGTTGTAAGATCCGACATGTATATTCTTTTGTAAACTTTTATTTTATGTTTAAAAAAAAACAAATATGTGCCTGTATGTAACTTATGTACAATTTTTTTGGGGTTAAACTTACGTAACAATTTTGATTACGATAATCATACATACTTGCAAATGATAAAAGAATATACAAATATGCTAACGAGGGTTGGTTGAGTTGGTAAGGATCGTTTTCTTCGCTATCAAAGCCTAAGTTCAAGTTCCGCTGCTGATAATCTCTCTTGATGGGTAATCTGTAAAAAAAAAAAAATGGAGCTAAGACCCCCTCTATAAGTCGTCAAAGAGGTATGCCTTGGCCCTGAAATAGAATAGCCTCCCCTCCTCCTAAACTATTTTTCATAAAAGCTAGCCTCCCTACACGCGCTTCCGCGCGTGCGAGAGGCTTTTTTTTAATAACACGCGCTATACGCGACTTACAAAGTTTCGTAAATATTTTTTTGCAATTGTATTTATATAGATGTCAATTTCAACAGTTTCATATTTTAATTGCGAGCGTGTGATAAATCGTCGTCTTAAAAGTTTTTCTTTATCACCCATATTTTTCTAGATGTCCATCTTAGCCGTTTGCATGCTATAAAAATAAAATTTAAAAATATAAATAAATAAATAAAAAAACTTATAAGATGAACGTCTAGAAAAATACGGGCGATAAAGGAAAACTTTTAAGACGACGATTTATCACACGCGCACAATTAAAATATGAAACTGTTGAAAATGACATCTATATAAATACAATTGTGAAAAAATATTTACGAAACTTTGTAAGTCGCGCGTAGCGCGCGTTATTAAAAAAAAGCCTCTCGCACGCGCGGAAGCGCATGCAGGTAGGCTAGTCTAATAAATTTTAGGAGTTAGGGGGATTCTTATTCAATTAATTACCCACATGTTAATATTATCCAAAGCAAATCCAACATTAATAGGAAAATCTCAAATATTTTAAGTAAAATAATATTTTCATTCTACACAACATCGTAGTTTTAGATTATGTACATAAATATTTACATAATATGCACATAGGAGGAAGACATGTAACGATCAAGACCACTTGCGCCACCCATTATATCTTTTTATATTAACTGTCATATTATTGTTTCTGTAAATTCAAGCTTGTGTAAATATAAACACAAATTTTGAAGCCCATGGGGTTAGATAAATGTTTAGGTTAGGTGGTGTAATATATTAGAATTACCGTTCACCGAAAGGTTAAATTTGCTTCCATTATTAAGAAAAGAATAAATATAAAATTACTTTGGTTTCTCAAAGAGATTTTCCTTTCACAGTTAAGAACGCAAAACTTGGCACCACCCCTCAGAAGACACAATCAAATAATAAAAACATATTTGTATTTCACCTAAGCAACTCATGATTTTGGCACAAAGACAAATTATCCAGTACAAATTTCCTTTATTTGTTTTTTTACATGTATCCATTCTCCTTTTCAGTAACCAATGCAGTGATGTGAAGGCCTTGCCATTTATGCGCCTACAATAGGAAAAATGGAAAAACATAGAAGCAAGAGAAATCGTAAAATTACACAATCTACAAATTTGAACAGCAAGAAAGAAAAAAAAACAGTAATTGGAATGAACTACATCAACCAAATAATGAGAGAACCTCAAAATACAACCAATCAAATTCTATGATGTCAATTACCCAAATTGAAGTAAATAATTAAAGTTTCAGAATTCTAATAGTGTAACTAAAAAATAAAATTATCGCTTTTCTTAAATAAAAACATTACAATCATGAAGCATGAAACTTAAACTGAATACAGAGCAGGAAAGAAAAAAATTGCAACCAAATGTTCCTACTGTAGGAAAAGGGACTTATATGGGCGTACAATTGGAAAAATGGAAATATTAGAAGCCTTTAAGGCTTTTTATACAAAGAGAAAACATACATCACACAAAAACATTATCAAATTTCATACAGCACCTCTGTACTTCAACTAACTCTTTACCCAAAAAAGGAAAAGAAAAGAAAAAGTAGAGCTATACTAATTATTTCTCCAAATCGCCAAAAAGACAATCATATTAGTAATGTATATACCTTAAATGCTTCACAGCTTTATCTCTTAATTGTTCCTCTCTGAAAAATTTTGAGTTCATCCATTATGCACAATAAAATAGAATGGATAGTATAAAGAACAAAAGTTCACAATTACAAAACTCCTTGATATGTATTGAACTCCTTGCATCACTGAGCAAAACATGAGGAGAGTCTAAGATGGGTGTTGAGGAGATGGTGATGATGAGGACGTAGCTACCCTTTGCTAGTAATATGAACTTCCTCATATCAACTTCACCAAATTTCCTATCAAATTGTTGTCACCATACAAAACTAATATCAACTAATGAAAACAGGAATAGTGGCTGAATTTATGTTCTATTGCCAAATTACATACCAAATGGATGCTTGTTAATAAACCAAAATTGAAGCTATTGATCTGCAAAACAGATAAATAAGTTTAAACAAACAAACAAAGGCATAGTCACCCAAAGACTCAAACTTTGGGTTCAAATACTAAAACAATTTATTCAACATATAAAGATCATATAACTTGGATTAAATATCATCCAATTTGTTTCTTTCTTAGAAGATCTGCATTAGAAGGTCAGAGCATTTTCAGTCAGAAGAAAAAGGAATTTCACAGAAAGTTGAAATAGAAGTAACTCAAAGAAAGCATTTTCTTCACCTAACTGCTTCTAACCCTTCAACTCCTCTGCCAAAAGAATCCCCTCAGAAAACAAAAAAAGAAGAACAAAAATCAAAGCTATACACAACTCTAAATAAATGAATTACTGAGAAAAGCAGAGATGAAGAGGAGAGCACCGAAAAACTGCAAGCAACTAAAACGAACTGCTGATTATGAATATAACAAAGCTTCTTGAAGCAGACCCATCTAAGCTTATAATCTGCAGTGGAAAAGAGAATGAGAAGAACGCCCAAGCATCCATCCCAGTACTCTTACATGGAAAAAAAAATGCACAATTCAGAATTCTGTAACAGAAATTGACACATTAAATCTAACACAAATAACATGTTTTCTAAAACTCAAACAAAATAATACAACACTCGAAAAGCAAAAATACCACTCGACATTCCAAATGTCTTCTATGAATGGCACATAATAAACACCCTAAAACTGGAAGCACCATGTTATTTGGAGTGTAACACCAAAAAAGTGGCCTGAAAATGGAGTCTCACTCTGTGGTCATGATATCCAGCTTCTTTCCAGTCAGATTCTTTGTGTAAAGGACAATTGCCATTTTCTGAATAAGCACTTGATGTAATCAGAGAAATCCAACTCAAAGGTTGCAAAGATTCCTGACCATTGATGTGCGATAATTGATATAAAACTATGAATAGCACACAATAAACAACAGAAAGAAGAAACCATGATACAATTAACATGACTATTGCAAATTCAAAAAGAAATGAATGACCAAAACTCTGCTGCACAATTCTCTGATCCTTACAAAATCTAAATCTCATTTCTGTCATGTATTCACGGATGAAAAGATGATAAGAAAAAATCCCAAGCATGATAGCAGATGAAGAACCCTGATTTGAGAAACAACACGACATGCAAGAATAATCTAACAAATATGATTAATTCGAAGAAGAAATGTTACGACTGTCTTGTACCCTAGAGTGTACTTGCCACTCCTCATCACCAGAGCGAGCCTGGTGTTGATGCTCTCATGTGTAACTGAAACCCAAATGCACATTAAGTAACTGAAACCCAAATGCAAACCCACAAAATTCAAAGAAGCAGAAGATTTGGAACTCACTGCTTCAAGAGTTGGCGACCATGAAAAATTAGAGAGAGAGAAGTAAAGATCTGACCAGTTACATTGGATGTTCCTGGGTGGTTACTCGCGATTTCAATTTCTGAAGCAGAAAAAGGTGCCAGTAAAGTGGACGAAGAAAATATAAGTAACATGGTGGTGATGGGTTCTGAAATTGTGGAAACCGCCAGCTTCGTGGGTTCTGAATCCGTGGAATTTTTCTCCACGTTCTTCAGCTCTTCTTCTTTTCTACGCAACAGTCTTCTCCTGCGAGTCAGGCACAGCACGACTCTATTTTTCTTTTTTTTTTCTTTTTTTATAAATCAGTGGTGTTTTACTATTTCACCCTCAATTAATTAAAATTGTGTGCTTTTAATTTTTTCTTTAACAAATGGCATATTCGGAGTTTTTGAATGTTTCACTATTCTCTGCCTTTTGCTTTATATATATATAGATAAAAAAAAATTATAAAAATAGTAATGATGTATGCATGTATGTGCTATGTGTGTACACATGAGTGCATGACACATGTAGTTGACAGTAATAAGTATATCACAATTAGGAAATTGCCACGTCATTTCTCACGCTTTATCCAACCACCGGCTGCCGTCCTCAAACTCTCTCTTTTGTCCTTGCCTCTTCGCTGAGCTGTTCCTCACTGTTGTGTTGCCCCTCTCTCTCTCATCCACTGGTCCCACTTCTCTCTCTCTCTCTCCAAAAAAAGTCTTCCTTTCTTCTTCATCATCATCTTCTTCCATATAAAATCAACGCACAAACCCCCAATTCCAAGCTCTCTCTCTCTCTCTCAAATTTCGTTCCCCAATTCTCTTCTCTCTTGTTGTTGCCAGTTAAATTAAATTAAATTACATAGTTAGAAATTTTTTTTCTGTTTTATAGGGCGCCTGATATAGATATATAGATACAGATATAAATATACATATAGGTATAGAGACAGAAATAACTTCAGGTAAAAATGCCTGCTTGGTGGGGAAGAAAATCAAGCAAGAGCAAAGAAGAGCAAGAGAAGACACTTCAACACAAAAACCCATACTCGAACCGCAACAACAACAATTTCATCATCAAATCTTCGATCAATAGCGATATTAAGAAGAAAGACAAAGGCGTTAGGCCCAAGAGCTTCGACGAACAAATAACGCGTGGGTCACCGAGAGCGAGCAAAGAACTTGTGGGTGCTGGTGTTTCTGCTTCTGGATTTTCGGGTTTCGACTCCGATGGATGCGAGAGGAGGCAGGGGCATCCCCTGCCTCGGCCGTCGGTGTCGTCGGCGCAGGGCTTGGGAAATGATCAGGTGCTTGGCTTGGGATCTGGCTACGCCTCAGTTTCAAGCGTCAGCTCCTCTGGGTCCTCCGAAGACCAACCGATTGCGCATGACAGCCATGCTCAATTTGGTGCTTCCAGTTACAGGTTGGTTACCCCACAAACCCTGCTTTTCCGATTGGGGCTTTTGCTGTTTTCTGTCCAATTTGGGACTTGTGCGTTGTTTTTCATTCAATTCAATTCAATTCATCTCATCTCATTCTTGTAAGAAATTTTAGTCCAATCACTGGATTCCATTCAATAAATCTAATTCATTTATGAATATATCGGATCACAGTTACTAATTGGATCTCAATTTAGTAATTAATTAGCTATAATTCGATTGAGTTTTTTGGCTGTCAGAGTGGAGATAGATTGTCTTGTATACGAGCTCATCTTTTCGATGAAAAACCACATGATGCGGGCCTTCTTTCTTGCTTTCTTTTTCTTCTTGAGCCTCTTACTCTTGTACGATTCTCTGCTTTCTGTCTCACTATAACAATCTTAGTTTTTATTATTTGTTTTCACTGAGCGTAAGTATATAAATCCTTAGAATACGGTGATGTGTAGAATAGAGAAGTTCAACCTTAGAATAACTTAACAAAAATCTTACTAGAACAACTTTGGACTTGCATTTTCTGCACGATGTTCACTGTAAAAATTAGCATTTCCTACTTTCATTAGCCATACATTATGTGTATTAAATTGATGGATTTGTTCTTATAATCCCACAAGAAGATGATTGGGAACATTGTAAATCCCTGGTATAAGGAAAAATGACACGAAAAGCTCAATTTTTATTTTATATACTGCTAGATGTTACCCATGCCATTTATTGTTCACAGAGTTAATGGTGATCCCAAGTACAACGTGATGCCTAGAAGCCCCGGTCCTGGGTCTAGGGGGCCAACTAGCCCGACATCTCCTCTTCACCCGCTGTTTTGTGCCATAAGTTTGGAGTCTCCAACGGGAAAGCAAGAAGACGGGAAGAGTGTTTGTCATCCACTTCCTCTCCCGCCAGGTTCTCCAACTAGCCCTTCTGCCTTGCCCAACAGTAGAACTAGTGTCACCATTGAGAACACAACTTGTGCACTATCAAAGTGGAAGAAGGGAAAGCTTCTAGGAAGGGGGACTTTTGGCCATGTTTATGTCGGATTTAATAGGTAATTTGTATTCTTGTAGGTGGATTGATTAATAAACGAAGTGAATGATACTTTTTATTGGTCTTGGGAACTGACTTGAATATTTCTACTTTGGGCAAGGAAAACGAAACATCAAGTCACATGAATGATGGTATATATATGTCTACACACTTTTCAGATTAGCCTAGAAAATATAAGGAAGAATAATGGATTGGAGATTAAGGTTACCAAATAACTGTCTTTACAATAACTGGACTGCCGACAACTCATCTGTATTTCTTACTAATTATATGATTTTCCTTTTCCTAAATTTTCATTTGTGACTTTGACAGTGAAAGTGGGCAAATGTGTGCAATAAAAGAAGTTAGGCTTGTCTCTGATGATCGGACATCAAAAGAATGTCTTAAGCAACTGAACCAGGTAACTTTGTCCAGATAATGCTTGCTCCTTTTGAGTTTATCTTTTGAGTTGTCACTGAGTGTTTATTGTAAATTTACATGGTAATATGTTCTCCATCTGAATGTTTGGTTGTTGACTGATTTGTATCTAACCTTTTTGTTGTCAACAGGAGATAAATTTGCTTAGTCGGCTCTCACATCCAAACATTGTTCAATATCATGGAAGTGAATTGGTAAGACAATGTTCAATTAAATGCGTTGGCTGTTCATGTTGCCCTTGGACCCTAGTTTAGTAGTAACTTCGGGTTGTCATCTTTTCAGGGTGAAGACGCACTCTCTGTTTATTTGGAATATGTGTCTGGTGGCTCAATTCATAAATTACTTCAAGAATATGGTCCTTTTAAGGAACCTGTGATTCAAAATTATACCAGACAGATTATATCTGGGCTTGCCTACTTACATGGAAGAAATACGGTTCATAGGTATGTGGATTTTACCGATAATATCATATGTGGTTAGCCATATGAATCTTCCTGTGTTTTATTTACTTGCAATATCTCATTTTAAATCTAGTTTTTCGGAATCCTGAAATTCTGATCTTTTACCTTATACTTTAATACTGATAACAATTTATTAAAATCTGTTTAATTCAAATTATAGGTAGTTTTATATATTTTTAGAACTTTTTTTTACTCATTTGCTTTTCCTTGCAGGGACATTAAAGGGGCAAACATATTAGTGGATCCTAATGGTGAAATTAAGTTGGCAGACTTTGGCATGGCTAAACATGTAAATTGCATCTCATCCTCTGCACAATAAGTTCTTAGTCAAGTGATGAAGGCATAGACTTATTAATTTACCTCAAACATAAATGTGTCTAGGAAGAGTAAAGAATGAAACTGTTAACTATATGACAGGGAAATTGCCCATGTTTTCTTTTTATCATTATCTTTCTTTAGAACAGCTATTTGGCCCCAAAAGAGGAAAATGATACATGTTTTCATGGGGGTAACATAAGGTGCTTGGTGGAGGTAAAAAATGCAGAAGGTGGGTGGTTGTCTGTTTATTGGGTGGTTTGGTTAGAGAGAAACAAGAGGATATTTTAAAATTATGGAGGAGATTATATGGATAAATTAAGATCTTGGACTCCACTTTGGGCTTTGGTTTTTCTTGAATTTCGGAAATTATCATTATCTGATATTCTTGTGACTGGAAGGGGTGTATTTCAGACCGAACGGTTAGGCAAGGGTGACATGCCTGGTTAAACTCCCGTTTACCGAACAAGATGTTGAGAGTTTCACATAATGATTCCCCTCTTGCAGATTAAGTGTTAGCGGCTGTAGCGTCCACTGGTAATGTGTGGAAGAGTGTAAGCTTTCTTTGTGGATAGGACGTATCAACCCCTTTTGCATATTTTAAAGGAAATATATAAGAATGAATATTATTGTGTTGGGTCCTGAGGACCAGGATGGCTGAAGATCTAAACCTAAATGTGCTAGGGGTTGATCATCGAAGCCAGGGATTGAAGTAATTTGAGCGCTGATGTAGCTAATAGCCACTTTCATAGTCAATCAATTCATTAGGCTCATCACCCTCAACTGATGTAGGATATGGGTGAATTGAGTATTTTGGTAATTTAGCGGAAGCAAAAACAATTATAAAACAGAAAGTAGATGGGAATAGAAGCCTTGGCTTCACACCAAGGGGTTTGGCTTCACACCAAGGAGTCTCCAATCTCTGGAAAGCAAACTTTTCTCATAACTCAAATCTCTAATCTCTAAACTCCATAATGAATTACGTGAGAGGGGTATTTATAGCAAACTAAAACCTAGAGACAATAGGATAAAAAATCCCATGCTAAAACAGAAATTCTAACTAAATAAAATAGGAAACTTAGAAATCCTACTGAAATCTGGAAAACTTAAAAATCTTGCTAAGATCTGGAAAAGTTAGAGAACAAGTTAGAAACTAATCGCAGGAATAAAAAATTGCCCGATTTAAAGACCAAATTAAATGACTTCCTCTTCCATCTCTTTCTTTTCTAGCTTGGTTTTGTGGTAGGAAATTGTTGTATTATCATTATTGTATTGTATGAAGTGGATGACTCATCTGCAACTTGTTTTGTAAGTTACTAATAAAGTTGGTTTTTTATAAAAGAAAGAGAGAAAAAACCTTCTGATGAACTTCAGCACATAGATAGAAGATGCATATATGAGTGGTATTTGACTGATGAAATAAACAATAGTATTTGACTGCCATTTTCCTGGTTACTTTTCTAAGTAAATTTTGTGAAGTCTGATGATTTTCTGTTCTGAATCAGATTACAAATTGTGCTTCAATGCTTTCATTCAAGGGAAGTCCTTATTGGATGGCCCCTGAGGTACTCTCTCTCTCTCTCTCTCTCTCTCTCTCACACACACACATGAATAGAATGTGCTCTGCCTTACATTAGCATCATGTTCCCTCTTTTTCTTATTCATTTAAGTATCCAGTTTACTCAGGTGGGGTTTTCTGATGTTAATGAAATCTTAATTTCAGGTTGTAATGAATATAAACGGCTATAGTCTTGCAGTGGATATATGGAGCTTGGGATGTACAATTCTTGAAATGGCAACTTCTAAACCTCCTTGGAGCCAGTATGAAGGGGTGCGATATAATGTTCAGAACTTATTGCTTTACAAGTTTTCTTTGTTATCATCAGCTACAAAGTGTTTGCTGGACCAAAACTTGTTTCCTTACGTTGGATTCAACAGGTGGCGGCAATTTTTAAAATTGGAAACAGCAAAGATATTCCAGAGATTCCTGATCATCTTTCCAAAGATGCAAAAAATTTTGTGAGGCTATGCTTGCAACGGAACCCATCAGAGCGTCCCGCAGCATCTCAGCTGCTAGACCACCCTTTCATTAGAGAGCAAACGTCTACAAGAATTTCTAACACCAAGTTAACCAAGGATGCCTTCCCGTATGCTTTTCATGGAAGCAGGACACCGGTAAAGCCTTTTAGAACTCTTTTTTTTGCCAGGCCTTTTAGAACTGTTTGACTACATACATATTTAAAGATATTAGTATGAGGGCCAAATCATGAATTGCCTATTTAACAATGGTCATTTTCAGTCAACATAGTGATTGTACAGAGTAGGAGGCTTTGTTTGGTTGAATTGTTTCTAGTATACATGTATAATGAAATTGTTGAAATCATTAAAACAAAGTGCATCATGTGTGAAGGAGGTGGTGGAAGTGTGGGACTTTTTTCCTATGAAAAAAGTGTGGATATTTGTTTCTTCACTCCCCAGTAGCAACCTTTGGTGGCAGTAAGAAGGCAGAAGTGTTATGGATTGGTTGGGTGCAAGTGCTGTTTCGGGTATTTGGGTGAACAGAAATAAGAATAGTTTTGAGAATCACAGAGGGAAACAGATCGAAGTTTTCTGGGATAGTCATATTTTGGTCTGCACTTTGGACTTCCCTGTTTCGGGATATTTCATTTTCTTCTATTTTGACAGATTTGGAAAGCAGCTCTTCTTTTAAGAGTCTTTTTTGTATTTTGAAACCTCTTTGGAGTTAGAAAGTGTGTTAATTGATAGGTTGTTTATTTTTCATTGATGTATTACTGTGGTGGACAACTTGTCCACAGTGGTTGTACTTGTTTTTGTTTTTAATAAAAAACTTATGTTTCTTACCAAAACAAAAACGAATAAACAAATAAAATGTGAAGCAGATTGAGGCAGGGGCATTAATGTTTCAAAGTTTGATTGATAGTTGTTATTTTAATAACTCTTTGTATCAAACTTAGGCTCTTGCCCAACCTGATTTCGTTGTCATTTCTCCTTTTGAGCAGCCAATATTGGAGCTACATTCCAACAGAACAAGCATCACCTTGAGTGATGCAGATCACACAGCAAAGCCCACAGCCGCGACTTCAAGAGCTGTGCGGAGCCCCAGGTAATATTATACATTCTGCTCGTCATATCCTCATCTCTGTAGTCTGTAGAACATGTTATAATTTTTAAAAGCTTTTGTCATTTCTTACATGCAGAGAGAATATAAGGATGATTACATCTTTGCCTGTATCCCCTTGTTCAAGCCCTTTACGACAATATGGACAGACACACAAGAGCTGTTTTCTTTCTCCTCCTCACCCAACTTATGCCATGATGGGACAGAGTAGTTACAATTTGAGTGACTTGCCGTCGTATAATACACTAAGTCCAAATACATCGTACACTCTTGATCCTTGGCAGGACACAAGTATACTTAAAGCCCAAACGCCCGGAGGTTCACCAAGAACACGACCCATTTGAATGTAAATACCATGAGAAGCAAAATTTTCTTTTGTCTCCCTGAATGCTTGATGAACTGGAGTCGTCCTGAAAGTTTAGAAGAAAATTTGGTTCATGCAACCACCCAGCCACCTAGCAACTCGAAGTGACTTGATTGTTATGTATGGGAATTTGAAAACAAACTGGGGCATTTACGGACAAGTTTAAAATGCATGGGGTAGATACTGGTCTAAATCCTTACTGTTTGTAAATGGAAGCTAGCTGGTCACATTTGTAACATTTATGATTTAAATTTTATAATTATGTTCATGGTGAAAGATGATTATTCTTGTACGGGCAGTTACTCGTTCGATATAGACAAAATGGGGTTCCCACTTTACCTTTTTTATAAATTTTTTGGCTAAGGACATTATAAACACTGCAGGTTTGGGGTACACTGCAGGTTTGGGGGTATTTTCAAAATGGCCATGAAGTTTCAGTTTTATCAATTTACACTTCAATGTTTTAAAATTTAATTAATTTACACTTCTCATCAGTTTTGGTCGTTTGCTCATCCGTTAAATTAGCGTTGTGGTAAACGTGGGACCTATTTATATACAGATGTGGAAGCAACACATGCACCACGTTGGACAAAACCAACAAAAATCTTTGAGAATTTTGATATTTTCTAAACCCTAAACAAAAACAAAATTTAATTTAAAAAATTAAAAACAAAATGAGTTCCCCAGCTCCCTCGACTACAATTCGTCATTGGATTGGACTGGGTTGGGTCCGGTTGGCCTGAAATTTTTGGGTTCAGGTCGGGCCTTCATGGGCTTTTTCATTTTTCGGACCGCCCATTTAAGTACATGTCTTGTGTTTTTATTTTAATTTATTTTGATATTACTCCATTTACTTAAGTTTACAATGTAAATAAAAAAGTACCCCCTATTTGGATTCAATCTAAAATACTAGAAAATCAAATTCCAAAAAAATCAAAATATGAAAATCCAATTTTAGTAGAAGATACAGTTTATACCAATATTGGTACCCTAATAAGTTAATGCATACTTTATACTAAAATCTCATAAAATCGTGTTTGATTATTTAAGTTGTAAGGAATATAAACCGCCAAAAATATAATTGAAAACATTAGTATTTCAAAAGTCTATTTTTCGTACTTAGTCAAATTTTGAGGGAAAAAAGTTTTTCAAGAAGAACCTTGATCACCTGTACAACCTGCGATCAAGAAGAACCTTGACCACCTGTACAACGTGCGCAAGAAGCCCAATGAATCCCTTCGAGATTACATCAAGAGATTCAAAGCATAAAATGCCAACATTGTAGGGTGCGATAACCGAATCACGTCCTCTGCTTGCAAGAAAGGTTTTCCAGATAAACACGACTTATACCGCGAGTTAACTATCACTCACAGTCAGACTCTAGCAGAGGTCTTCGCGACCGTGGAACGCTACGCGCTTTGGGATAATGATCGAATTGCCGCGAAGAAGTCTACCAAGCAGGAAGATGAGCCAACCAAGCGGGCAAGCCAAAGAAGCGACATGCTTAGTAGCCGGAACAAAGACAAACACAGGTCGCGCCCACAAGGAGACACTATGGCAAAGGAGAACTACACCAAATTCTCCATCCCCATACATCAAATCTTAGCCCAAGTGAAGAATAAACCTCGGGTGAGAAGACAACCACCCTTGAAGGGAGATCCGGACAAGAGGGATACTAGAAAATACTGTGCCTTCCATGGCACGTAAGAGCACAATACGAATAACTGCTTTGCTTGGAAAGCGCACCTCGAAGAACTCGTGAGAGAGGGTCACTGCACATAATTCATTGCGAAGCAGGCCATCCAGCAGATTGAGGACCGTGATACCGCCAAGGAGCCACCCCAGAAGGTCATAAGGATAAACACAATCCTAGCTGACTTCGAGGAGTCCGAGTTGACTAGCAAAGAAAAGAAGAGGAAGATCAAACAGGCCACTATGATCTCCCAAGTCTCAACTAGCCTTCCACTGGCAGAAGACGATCCTGTGATCAGCTTCCAGAAGAAAGATCTAATCGGCCTCAATCAACCACACAACGACGCCCTTGTCATCAGCATTCAAATCGCTCAGGCCATGGTTGACTGAATCCATGCAGACGAGGGCAGCGCAGCCAATATCCTACAATTGGTAGTCATCCAACAGATAGGCTTAGAGACAAAGATCAATAAATCGGCCAGGTCACTAATTGGCTTCAATGGCGCAACAACAGTTACTGTGGGCGTGATAGATCTCGACGTCTGCTCCCCACCTGTAATCAGTTCGCAAACATTCATGGTCATCGATGAAGTCTCCCTATACAACAACATTCTAAGCAGATCATGGATTGGCAAGATCAATGCCATCACCTCCGCCACACATCAGAAAATCCGCTACCCAATCCCTGTCGGCCAGATCAACAACGATCAGGCAATGGCGAGGAAATGCTCAGCTCAAGGGCTAAAGAGAAGCAAGCAAACACAGTTCCTCCCTGTGAATCAGGCAGATCAGAAGGGAGTAGAACAAGCAGAGGAGAAAGCAGATCCCATTCCTGATGGCTGAGCAGACCAAAAAGGAAAGGGAATAGCTACTCCCCAATAGCAATCAAAGAATCAGGACCAAGTCGAGGGAATCCGTCTGGAGGTCTCTCCTGAAGAAGGATGGAAGACTGAAGAGGACGTCGAGCTAGTACCCCTAAGCCAGGAGGAAAAGGCAGAGCTTGCAGCCTTCCTCCATAACAACAAAGACGTATTTGCATGGTCGCCATCCAACATGCCAGGCATCGATCCCCAGATCATCTGCCATCGCCTATACGTCAACCCAGCTATCAAGCCTGTAGCGCAGAAGACATGCAACTTCGCCCCTAAGCAGGTTGCCATCATTGAAGCCGAGATCGACAAGCTCCTAGTTGTCGGTTTCATTGAAGAAGTCCTACACAGAATGGCTGGCGAACTTTGTTCTAGTAGTAAAGAAAGATAAAAGCCTGTGGAGAGTGTACGTCGACTACATCGACCTCAACAAGGCATGCCCTTGACGTGAGAAATAACTAACGCACAAATTAAACCTTATGAATTATGCAATCGTAGTACGAGTAAGTAGGGATCGTTCTATTCCGGGGATTAGGAGGGATGCTAATCAACACAAATTAAACTTATTAAACTGAAAACTAAGTTAAGGAAAACAATGATTGGGGGGAATTTGGACGATTCAGACTAAAGTAATAATGACAGCAGCAAACAACTAAGTTGTGAATGAAGTATGGATGAAGGGATAGCTAGATGATTCTTCTTCACACATGGAACATATGCATACAAATCGATCTCCAGTTACTCTTTCTATAAAGTATGAATGACAATGCCCCAAATTAATTGTGAATGCACTAATTAACTCTCAGATTTTCCTAAGTTCATTGAATTGGACTCAGCGACACAATCAAATTATTCTCATCAAGTTCCCTATATGAACAACATGATAAAGATACGTATCAAAGATCATTAAATTATGTGAAAATCATAAGCATTGACAAAGCATTCGTAACTATTAAAAGCATGATACTCCTGCCAAGAATTTACTTAATTCAATCATGACTAGTGACTTTCACCACTTGTGAATATAAGTTCATAACGATTAGGTGAAATTCCCTTATATTCTAGCATCAAATCCCTGCATACAAACTAAGTATGCATCCCTAATAAACATACAAAAATAAGTTCTCAATAAAATAGAAAAGTAAATCACATTCATACTTTATGAAACCATAACTGGAAGTAATCAATTCATATAAAACATAGGCTTAAGTGCTACAGTGCCCCCTAAAACATTGGTCAATTCTCACTATTCCCCCTTGAAGTTAAAGTGGCCCACTTTGCCTTATTGATCGATGTTTTGTGTCTCACTTTGCCCCTCATCATCAAGTCTGTTAAAAATTCCGTTAAAAATGCTGACGTGGCACTAATGGGACCCACTATTTTGCTAAACTAAATGCCATGTGTTAAGAAAAAATAATTTAAAATTTAAAATTATCTTTAAAAAAACTTAATTTAACTATTAAAAAAATTAATAATACTTAAAAAAACTTAATTGCACAGCGCTTGACACTGAGAGAGAAAAGAGAGGGAAGATAATTGATCGGAGAATGACATCGGATGGAGCCATGTCTGGCATGAAGGAAGCCGTCATGGAGGGAGAGAGAGACCAACCGTAGGAGAGAGAGGAGTAGGAGAGCCATAGCTGCGAATATCATAGCTGCTATGATATTCGCAAGGCTCCAAGCTCAGGGCAACTTCAATTTGCCCAAGCATTGCGACAACAACGAGGTGTTGAAAGCTCTCACGGCACCACCTATCACAAGGTCTCGCTTCCTTTCTCTTCTTCAATTCACTTTAATTGTCCCAATTCTTCAATTTCTTTTTTTAATTTATAATTATTTTCCCATAATTGTCATAGCTCAGATCCAAAGGAAAAATCCACCTGAAAATTAATTTACTCATGAATTCTAAAAATGTGATGGTGGTGTTGTTGTACAGGGATTGAAGCCAACCCAAATTGATACACAAGGCACATCAACCATGATCAGCCCTTACTCTTCTCTAAATCCTAGTCCAATCCCATCCTACGAAGCCATTCCTTCATCGTTTTCCTATCCAAGCCCAAGCTGTTTCGATCCCAGCACTAATTCATCAAATCCCAGTCACTATCTGCACTCTGCAATTCCTTCGTCTCTCCCTCCTCTGCGAATTTCCAATGGTGCCCCTGTAACCCCACCGCTCTCATCCCCAACCTCTAAAAACCCCAACCCAATTCCAAACTGGGACTCCATTGTTAAACAGTCCATGGCCTCTTTCGATTACCCATTTTATGCTGTCTCTGCTCCGGCTAGCCCGACCCGTCACCAGCTCCATTTTCCAGCTGGTACCATTCCCAAATATGACGAGTCTGATACTTCCACTGTTGATTCTGGGCAATGGGTTTGCTTCCAGAGATTTGCTCCTTCTTTGTCAGCAATGCCAACCTCTCCCACTTTCAATCTTGTGAAGCCTGTTGTTGCTCACCAAAACTTGCCTGACAGTGAGATCCCATAGGTAAAGCCGTGGATAGGAGAGAAGATTTATGAGGTGGGATTGGATGATTTGGAGCTCACACTTGGAATTTTTAATTTTTTTCTTTCACACATGGCATTTAGTTTAGCAAAATAGTGGGTCCCATTGGTGCCATGTCAGCATTTTTAACGGAATTTTTAACAGACTTGACGGTGAGGGGCAAAGT